TGACGCCGGAATATTACGGAATAAGATCCCTCCTTCCTTCCAAAAAAAACCCCCCAAAACAAAAAAAAACCGCCATAGACTAGCCCTGGCTCCCCGATCCATTATACAACCTGTAAATTCCTTCCCTCATTGAAAAGATTCTTTTTATGGGCATAGTTAACAAGTGCCAAGCTGCGAAGTTGCAGCTTTGCTGGTTTGACGTTTTCACAATGCAAGAACAATATGATCTGGAATTTACTCAAAGCATTAGCCAGGCAGTCAGCTGATGCTCACCGCACATGAGAAAGACAGAAATAAGAGAAATTAAACCTCGTATCTGTGTATCGCTGGTTATCAACTACGTACCTTTAAAACTAAAATAGGCCAACATTAGACGCTCCAGTTAAAGTAATAAAAGTATTTCTGTTGTTAAATAAAGACGGCTTTCCCCGCGCTAGGTCTCTCTCATTCTTGGAATTTTCCTTGTAAAGGGCTTTCATCAGTTCATAAAACCAACCTCTCACCACGGAACCGCTGCCTGAGTAACTTTTACAAAAGGTCAAAGCGGTGCCTTTCAAGGCTTCCAAACCCTACTGGCTTCTCTTCGGTTCACAGTAACTCGCTTTCCACCCACAGAACGTTCCAGAGACCTAAGGACGGGGACCAGACAAAACTTGGTGGGAGTTGCTAAAAAGAGGCTTTCAACTTTTTCAAAATACTTAGACCGAATTTCACCTTCCTCCCTCCGCGCCCCCACATGTTGCTCGTCTCCCTCCCAGAGGGCCCCGCGAGGCCTCGCTTCACCCCCTACAACGCGCCCACCTGATTACCCTTTTCTCCGCAGACTCCGCCCCCCCCCCCCCCCCCCCCCCCCCCCCGCCTGTGTGCCTGCTTTAGGAGGTCCATATGGGACGCTCTCCCCTTCCTCTGTCCTCACCCCACGCCAGACAAGCCTCGATGCTCTTCTCTCAACTCTCCGCGACCACGGCCCTCCCCGACCACCGCTTCCTCAAGTGCTGGGAGAGCGCAGAGTGGAGCCGCAGGCCTGCACGGCCCAGGTGCTGTGTCAGCCTATCTGCCGGTTCCGCGCCGTGTACGGCCTGGAAAGTCACATGGCGGTGGGACCGGCCGGCGCCTCCACACGCCTGCTCTTCTCAGAGCAGGACGAGATTACCAAGTCCACTCACCTCCACGAAGAGCAACATGTCTTCCTCCGCTCGGCCCACTCGTTCTCACCGCCGCGACTCAAACTGGCTTACAGGCCCGAGCCCCAACCGCTAGGATAAGGACACTCGCCTGGCCCCTCCACCCGGCAGTGGACCCGGCTCCTCCCCCGCCGTCAGCCGCTGCGGCCCGACCCGCCCAGTCCCACCTCCCTTGAAACAGCAACTGTTTCCGGGTCTAGAGAACAATTGCTTCCGGGAGCAGACAGTCCTCGGAGCGCTCAACTTTTGCGCTACCTTTTCCAGCAGCAGTATGGGATGTACTATCATCCCTTCTAGGGGGAGGAGGGAAGTGATCAGAGGAAGGCACCATTCTGAGCCACGGGGGTGTGTAAAAATCTTATTGACGCCTTTTATCCTTTGCGGACGGGTATGGCTGCAACGGCCATAATCATTCCGCAGTTTTCATAGTTCAAAATCGAGTTCTGATAAAAAGCCGAGCTTGTGCGAAGTGTACTGAATAAACGCCCAACCCTGCCGAAAAGGTGGTGGATCGCAGAAAAAAAGTAGAGAAGGAAAAAAAAAAAGCAGTGGTAATAGTAAATCTACTAATAGCAGCTGCTTTATGTTAAATGCTTACCATGTGCCTGGCACTGTTCTAAGTATTTTACGTGAATTAATCTTAAAACAATCCTATGCAATAAATACTATTATCCTCATTTTACAGCTGAAGGAGTCCTCTAGGAGGGCAGGTTTCCTTTAGACACACCTTGAAAGAACTTTGCCCCATGTTCGCTTGAATCAGGTACCCGAGTCCCCGCTTAATATAACGCTACTTAATGATACTTTAGTCTGGATAGCCTCCTCATTGATGTTCTGCTATCACTTCAAATGAAATACAATAAAAACGATTTTTAAAAATTATAATTTTCTGTTAGATGATCCAAATTCCTTACTATCTTTAGTAATACTAGTTGGATTTATCCCTCCTTTGTCAGTCCTGCTTCTATATCCTAGACACTCATCTTTTTTTTTTTTTTTTTTTTTTTGAGGAAGATTAGCCCTGAGCTAACATCCATTGCCAATCCTCCTCTTTTTGCTGGAGAAGATTGGCCCTGTGCTAACGTTTGTGCCCATCTTCCTGTACTTTATATGTGGGAGGCCTGGCACAGCATGGCTTGATAAGTGGTGTGTAGGTGGGCACCAAGGATCCGAATCAACAAACCCAGCCACCCAAGCAGAGTGCAAGAACTTAACCTCTACACCACCCAGCTGGCCCCATATTCCTCTTTTGAAATAATCATGTCAAGATCTTTTCCAATGGGTTTTTTCCATTCTATTATTTCAAAATTCTTCCTAAATTGAAGGCTTCATTTTTACCAAACTGCTGTTTGCTTTCAAGACCTTACCATTCTGATCCTATGTAATCTCCCTTACTTCACCTCAAATGAATCTCCTCACTTTTTCACGTAGATCCCAAATGAATTCCCTTATCAAATTGCTGATATATGTCCCATACGCTCCCTAATCTGGTCCCTAGTAAACTCAACATTACTTCATCTCAATTAAACCAATTTCCTCACTTTTCCCCTGAAATACAAACTCAACACTCACCTCCAAAGCCATGGCTCAAGGCGTCTTCCCTATCTGGAATGCCTTCATTTGTCAATCAACCTTCTCTCTCCATAAGGCTTTCCTGAAAACTCTGCTCCCCACAGATCTCTTCTTCATGTCCCTTGTTAACGCTCGAATATTATATTCTATCTTAAGTTATTTCCTTTTTCTTCTTTTCGTTTTTCAGTTTCTTCACAGGTACCCTGTCGTATATTCTTCACAGTCTAGGATAATGGTAGCCACATAATAGTGTCTCAGCAAATGTTTGTCAAATCAAATGGGAAGGAGAGAAGTTTTAAAATTTGCCTTAAAAAGCCTTCATTTCCAGTTGCTGATGAATTCCATGCTGCATAAAAAATATGAGAGAGAGAGCAATAATGCTAAATTAGTTTAGTTGATAAGCATGTAGGATGCTTTGTGAATGCCTACTGAGATAAGCAATGTAAAGAAATCTAGAGAAATAAAAGTTACATAAAGATCTTACAATCTAATACTATTATCAAAAAAGTACTTAAACCGACTAATGGATGTCAAATGCTGGATAATGATGAATATTTTAATCAGACTTCACATTCATAAAAATAAATAATTCTCCTTAATTGCGGTTCTTTTCAGAAAACATTATGAACTTCCTTGAATAAATAGACTTAATTGTGATTTATAGAAAAAAAAGGAGTAATATTTTATGACTGGAGGCCAGTCTAACAATAAAGGAAAGTATTTTAAGGCTTAAAAGAGTTTCTATAAGGAGTTGAGTCTGAAACTATAATGAATATCCAAATTTTAGACAGTTTCTGTGGAAGAACTGAGGAAGAATATGCCAAATGTTAGAAAAAGAAAACTAAAGTACAGCATCTGGTTTTGAGAAGTTTACCAACTAGTAGATAGAGACAAATAATAGTTACACTTCAATGAGATTAGTACTATACTAGACAGTTTACAAAGTGATTTGGGAACACAGAGGAGACAGTCACTTAGGAAACGGGATCTTAAAGAGAAGGAAAAATATTTAATTTGCTCTCTATATACCGACCGATATTTTTAAGAGACAACTACTTTATGATCCCCTGCCTTCCTTTCTCTGAAGGACTGAAACGCATATGTTGTTTAACTTTACAAGTTTACAACAAAGGCTCAACATAGGACTAAGTTTAAGTTTAAATAAAGACTCAACATAGAAAGTTTTTGTAGACAAATTGTTTTACATTCACCATTTGTATAAAGTCTAAAACCTCAAAATGATATTATACAGTTTATGAATTTATACACCCGTAGTAAAATTATATAAACATGAACTAGACATCAATACTTCAAAATCGTGATTGTCATTGCCTCTGAAAAGGGACAGAGGGGAAGGAAGGAGTCTGGTGAAAACACCAAAGGGGATTTCAACTTTATCTCTAATGCTTTCTTTTATTTAAAAATATCTGAAGTAAATATGACAAAATGTTAAAATTCGTTCAATCTAGGTGATAGGTACATGCCTATTTGTTATATTACTTTCTGTACTTTGTCATATTTTTTTAAAGTGGAAACAAAATCTACACAGCCAACAAAACTACCCTCTCCTTTAATTGCTCCAGTCTCCTAAATCCTTTCACCTCCTTTGCAATCAAAGGAGCTGCCCAAAGTACTACTCTTTCAGTTAGAAGGCAGCTTCTAGCGTGCCCTTCAATTTCTCGAGTCAACTATGGAACTTCAAAGACTTTTTCAGTCAGGTTCCTTGAAAAAGCTAGTCACTAGGCAGTACAAAGAGTGTGATCTTCATCCAAAGAATATTTTCCAAGTTACGAAATGTTTAGGAAAAGTTGAGGGGCAGCTGAGGAAGTTGTAACACAATTAATCCATTACAGACAAAAATTCTTGAGCAAAACCTAAGGAAGAGAGAAGAACCAGGAGTTACGTTCGATACACTAGATCTTGAATTCTAACACCTAGATTTTAAACTCATTTAAATAGGGCTATATCTTCTATTTCTTTCAGCATTCCTGTTGTCTATTCTCTCCTACCCTCCCTCCCCCTTCACCCTTCTACCATCACAGCATATAGAATGCCTGGTTCTCTGCATATAATAAGCACTCTTTAAATGTTTGAGTCAATGATAACGTCACAATGGGTCTATTATGACATCACTAGGACTGGATTTACCATGGTCAGCAACCAATTAGTAGCAGGGTAAACCACAATCTCTGGGAGCAGGAAAGGCTTCTAGTTTGTTCGTGGACACTTTTATTAGCATTTGCCTATATTCTGTGAAAAAAGAAGAAATAAAAGAAAATTACTCAATTTTTCAAATATTTATCAAAATGCAAACTGACAATGAATCTGATTCAGAAATTGAACTTGTGGATTACACCACCACGACCAAAGAAACCATTGATAGCTCATTGTTCCCTGCGCTTGAGCTCCCATTTACAGCACAGGATGTCATCTCTAGGATTGAGCAAGCACAGCTCTGTCGAGCCAGAGAGGTAGGTAGTAAATGAGAAGTTTACAGATGGCAACATTTTTTTTAACTTCCCATGACCAGTTACATTTCTTTTGTTACAACTCATTTTATTTTCATGATATTTGACTGTGTTTGAGGTAAATTTGATTTCAAATGACAACTTTCACCTGACTCTGTGGATAACAAGCTCCAATTTTAATCTCTTTCACTTTCATATCAGAATTAAGTTTTTTGAGAAATAAATTACATGTGCTATTGAGTGATTGGGATAGAAAGAAAAATTAAAACCTATAGCTAATATTGATATCTAATTTTAGTCAAAAGTTTTCATTTATTCTCAACTGAGATTTATCAGATAGCTATTAACAAAAAGAAACAGATTGCTTTGAACTCTAGCTCCTTTTATTTCCCCTGAACACTTCATGGAAAAGGAGTTTATTGGCCAAGGACAATAAACAAAGAGCTTAAATAGTATAACAATCAAACAGACCCCAAACAATTAAGGCTATACTGCATTCTGTTCTCTCAGACAGAATACAACAAAATCAGCCAGGTTAAAAGAGGTTAATTCAGAGGAAGTTCTTTCCTATGTGTAAGGAGTACTGAATATCTATACTTTCTCATTCTCCACGTAGACTTACTCCTGATTCAACTCCCCCCAACTAGCAGCAATAACAGTGTTTGCTTTTAATAGCTTTATTGAGGTATAATAGTCATACAATAAACTGTACACTTTTCAAGTATACAAATTTTTTTTTTTGAGGAAGATTAGCCCTGAGGTGACATCTGCTGCCAATCCTCCTCTTTTTGCTGAGGAAGACTGGCCCTGAGCTAACATTCGTGCCCATCTTCCTCCACTTTATATGTGGGATGCCTACCACAGCATGGCTTGCCAAGTGGTGCCATGTCTGCACCTGGGATCTGAACTGGCGAACCCTGGGCTGCTGAAGTGGAACATGCACACTTAACCACTGCGCCACCGGGCCAGCTCCCTACAAATTTTGATATACATAAACACCTGTGAAACTTTCATCACAATCAGCATAATGAACTTACCCATCACCCCCAAAAGTTTCTTCATGCCCCTTTACAATCCTTTCCACACACCCTTACCCGCACCCCACCCCAAACCCCAGCTAACCACCAATCTGCTTTCTGTCACTATATTCTTCATTTTAAAAGAACTTTAAGTGGAATCATACAGTATCTACTTTCTTCTTTCTTCTTTGACTAGCATAATTCTTTTGAGATTCATCCACATTCCTGCATATATGAAGAGTTCATTCCTTTTTATTGCTGAGTAACTATCCATGGCCTGGACATTTGGGTTTTCTCTGGTTCAAGGTTATTACAAACAAAGCTGCTATGAACATTCATGTACTAATTCACGATTTATTTTATAGACATATGCTTTCATTTCTTTTGGATAAATACCTAGGTTTTTAAATGGCTGGGTCACGTGGTATGTAAATGTTCAATTTTAAAAATAAATACCAAACTATTAAAAAGTGGTTATACTATTTTATATTCCCACAAGCAGTATATGAGATTTTCTTTCTTTTTTTTTTTGAGGAAGATTAGCCCTGAGCTGACATCTGCTGCCAATCCTCCTCTTTTTGTTGAGGAAGACTGGCCCTGAGCTAACATCCGTGCCCATCTTCCTCTACTTTATATGTGGGACGCCTGCCACAGCATGGCTTGCCAAGCGGTGCCATGTCTGCACCCAGGATCCAAACCAGCAAACCCTGGGCCGCCGAAGCGGCCTGTGGTCACTTAACTGCTGCACTACCGGGCAGGCCCCAGTATATGAGATTTTCAATTGCTTTGCATCTTTATCAACACTCGATGTTGTTAGTCTTTGTAATTTTAGCCATTCCTAAAAGTATATAATGGTATCTCATTGTGGTTTTAATTCGCACTTTCATAATGACTAATGATTTTGAGCAACTTTCCATGAGCTTATTTGCGCTTGGTATGTCTTCTTTGGTAGTTCAAATATTTTGCCCATATTTTAAAAATTGAGTGGTCTGTGTTCTTATCATTCAGTTTTGAGTATTCTTATGTATTCTGAATACAACTCCTTTATCAGATAGATGATTTGCAAATAATTTTTCCCATTCTGTGGCTTGTCTTTTTCTTCCACTATTAGTGTCTTTCAAAGAATAAAACTCCTAAAGCCAATTTATCAATTTTTTCTTTTGTGGATTATGCTTTTAGTGTAGTATACTCCAAGCAAACCTTGCCTAAACCAAGGTCACGTTTTCTCCTAAGTATTCTAGGAGTTTTATTCTTTTAGATTTTACATTTAGGTCTATGATCTATTTTGTCTTAATCTTTGTATGTGATATCAGATATGGTTGAGGTTCTGGGTTTTTGGGGGGTTTTATTGAGGAAGATTAGCCCTGAGCTAACATCTGCCGCCCATCCTCCTCTTTTTGCTGAGGAAGACTGGCCCTGAGCTAACATCCATTCCCATCTTCCTCTATTTTATATGTGGGACGCCTGCCACAGCATGGCTTGATGATTGGTGTGTAGGTCTGTGCCCGGGACCCAACCAGTGCACCCTGGGCCACGGAAGCAGAGCATGCGAACTTAACTGCTATGTCACCAGTCAGGACCCCTAAACTTCATTTTTGACTGACTGAGTAGGCTAGGACCTCCAGTATAAAGTTGAATAGAAGTGACGAGACATCCTTGCTTTGTTCTTGATGTTAGGGGAAAGCATTCAGTTTTCCACCATTAAGTATGACAGTAACTGTATGTATTTTACGGTGCTCTTTATCAAGTTGGGGAAATTCCCTTCTTTTCCTAGTTTGCTGAGATTTTCAATTAGGAATAGATGTTCAGTTTTGTCAAAAGCTTTTATGGGGGCTGGCCCAGTGGCGCAGGAGTTAAGTGCGCATGTTCTGCTTTGGCGGCCCGGGGTTCGCTGGTTCGGATTCTGGGTGCGGATATAGCACTGCTTGGCAAGCCATGCTGTGGTAGGCATCCCACATATAAAATAGAGGAAGATGGGCATGGATGTTAGCTCAGGGCCAGTCTTCCTCAGCAGAAAGAGGAGGACTGGCAGCAGTTAGCTCAGGGCTAATGTTCCTCAAAAGAAAAAATTTAAAAAAAAAGCTTTTACTGCATCTTTTGGAATAATCCTGTGTTTTTTTCTCTTTGAATTTGTTGATATAGTGAATTACATTGATTTAGGAATGTTAAACCAACCTTGCATTTTTTAGATGAACCCCATTTACTCATAATGTAGCATTCTTTTTATTATCTTGTCTTTGATTTGCTAAAATTTTGTTAACTTTTCTTTTTCCTGAGGAAGATTAGCCTTGAGCTAACATCTGCCACCAATCCTCCTCTTTTTGCTGAGAAGACTGGCCCTGAGCTAACATCCATGCCCATCTTCCTCTACTTTATATATGGGATGCCTACCACAGCATGGCTTGCCAAGCAGTGCCATGTCCACACCCAGGATCCGAACCAGTGAACCCTGTGCTGCCGAAGCAGAACGTGCACACTTAACTGCTGCGCCACCAGGCTGGCCCCTGTTAACAACTTCTTGTGTCTATGTTTATAAAGTATATTGGTCTGTCATTTTCCTTTCTTTCTTTTTTTTTTTCCTGCTTTATCTCCCCAAATCCTCCCTGGTACATAGTTGTATATCTTAGTTGCAGGTCCTTCTAGTTGTGGCATATGGAATGCCGCCTCAACGTGGCCTGACGAGCGGTGCCATGTCCGCGCCCAGGATCCGAACCCGGGAAACCCTGGGCCACCGCAGCGGGGCATGCAAACGTAACCACTCAGCCACGGGGCCAGCCCCTGTCATTTTCCTTTCTTGTAATGCCTTTGGTTTTGGCATCAGAGTAATGCTAGCTACATAGATTCAGATAGAAAATTCTTTTCAATTTTCTGTAAGTTTATTGAGAATTGGCCTTTCCTTTTATAGTCATGCACCTGATAATGACATTTTGGTCAGCATCGGACCACATATGCAATGATGGTTCCATAAGATTATTAGCACATAGCCTAGGTGTGTAGTAGACTTATACCACACAGGTTTGTGTAAGTACACTCTATGATGTTAAAACAATGACAAAATCACCTAATTACACATTTCTCAGAATGTATCTCTGTTGTTAAGTGACGCATGACTGTGTATGTTTGGTAGAAACCAACAGTGTTTGGGTAGGGTGGGGAGAAACAATGAATAGTACTATCTAGAGTTATGGCTTAATTCACAGGAAGGTTTTAAACTACAAATTCAATTAAAAAAATAATCATAGGGCTCTTCAGGTTATCTTATTTCTCCTTGAGTGAGCTTTCACAGGTTCTGTCTTTCAAGGAATTTGCCCATTTCGTCTGAGTAGTTGAGTTTATTAGCCTAGAGTTGTTCATAATAATCTCATATTATCCCTTTGTTATCTGTAGAATCTGTAATAATGTCACCTCTCATTTTTGATATTAGTAATTTGTTTTCTCCCTTTCTCTCTCTTTCTTTGCTTATCATTATGGCTAGAGGTTTATCAATTTTATTGATCTTCTCAAAGAATCAACTTTTGATTTCATGGGTTTCCTCTAATTGCTTTTCTGTTTTCTATTTTACTGATTTCTGCACTGATCTTTATGATTTCATTTACATTTTTTACTTTAGGCATAATTTGCTCTTCTTTTTTCCAGTTTCATAAGGTGAAAGCTGAGATCATTGAGAACCTTTTTCTTTCATAATAAGTATTTTGTTCCATCTATTTCTCCCTCTGCAAATGGAAATGCTGTGTTTTCATTGTCATTCAGTTTTAAATACTTTCTAATTTCCCTTTTGAGCTTTTTCTTTGACTCATGGATTATTTAAGTTTATTTATTTATTTATTTTTTCCTCCCCAAAGCCCCAGTACATGGTTGTATATCCTAGTTGTAAGTTGTTCTAGTTATTCTGTGTGTGCCACAGCATGTCAACTGATGGATGAGTGGGAAGCGAAACTGGGCCACCAAAGCAGTGAGAGTGCTGAACTTAACCACTAGGCAATC